GAAGATAAACAACGGAGCAAAAGAAAACAACAAATCGTTTAATAAAACGTTAAAATCTATTCGTAAACTATTATTGTATCAAGTATTGAGATTTCAAACTTGTTTTATCCATCAATTTTCATTTTTATTATACATGGAAACGAATTTCATCATTGATTATAATTTTTAAATTGTTACCTTTAGACTGAAGCGAAATAACATTATGAAAATTATATTTCTCCTTCTGATAAGTAGATACTCAAACATTCGATGCAACTATTTTGGTAATGATAAAACACACCCAGTTTTGGAAATTAGAAACTCCTAGCCAGGTCATATCTCATTTAGGTTTGCCAGAGACTGTTCAAGGCAGAAACATAATATGCAACTTCATGTATAAATTAATTTTGATTTACTAATCTTAGATATATGAACCGGGTCTGGTTTACATGGATGTTGGAGATGATATACATATTCATCCCATCCACTACATGTTTGACCTAAAACGAATGGTCTCCCCTCGAGAAGATTCATTACCAGCTCAAAGGCATGCACAATAAAGTTTGATTTAAACATGACGCTCAACTTTTCCCAATATTAGAGTTATCGCCGGGGTGTTCAAATAAACGTTCATATTAGAGAGTCCCTTCAAACCATCCGCTTTACAAATTGATAACATTTAAAAAATGAATGGAAAAATGAGAAATTAATGTAAGTTTTGGCTTTCTACTACTCCATCTTGATACAAAGAAATGTGGGAATCTTCCAAAGAAAGGAAAGAAGCAATCAATTTCAAAAGAAGAAACTCTATATATGTGTAGATCATGCACAGAAGTAACTTTAACATAAACTGGAAGAAAACGCCCTCTTGAAACAGTTACTTTTATATGAACAATGATTTTACACGAAAGAAGAATTCTTTGGAAACAACCACTTTTATATGAACATTGCATTATACAAAAAACACTTTTCTCTATTCAGTTTGTATTCCAAACATTCATTATGGAACTGAATCAGATATCATTCACAGAATTTATACACAATACACTAAATGAAAGGTAAACATTTTCACTCAAATGGAACACTATCATCCTCACTGGTAGACATCGATGTTTCGTCGTAAGACACTTGCCTTAGGGCTCTTCAGTACAAATCTAGATACCATAAAAAAACATGTAATTCATGAATGAATGTGATTTTTCTTATTTTCTCATAATGTTATCACACCATTCATGAATACTTAATACTTGTTTCGAAGTGGTAAGACGAGGATAAAAATACATTGAATATGAAAAATATATAAACAAACTGACAAAAGTCTAAACATTTCCATTTTTTCAAACATGTATTCACCTCATACATTTGCTTACATACTTAGACGTTAAATATATGACTTTAAGGTATTACAACTGTCTCAAGTCGAGACCATTGATTTCTCTGAAAAAATTTTCAGATGGATATCTATAATTTTTTGATAATATTATTCTCAAGAACTTTTTATGAATAACTTCTAACGGTTTCAGATGAGTTTTAACAACCCCACCCTATCCCATAATCTCGTAACGTAGATTGCTTCTCCACCAAAGCATGATATAACGTCTTGAGATGTTCATAATCAAGTAACTTCTTTATACATTTAAATTTGTGGATTATTGTTAGGAGTTTTTTATATTACATATGTGATATGATGATCTCACCTCAGATGGCAATCTATATGGATTCCCAAATATTTAAATTTGAGTTGGAGGAGAAAAAACGGCTTACTTTGAATGTTGACTTCAATGTTTTTAAAGGACGGTATGTTTCACTTATTACATGTTAAAGACATATACTTAGTTTCATCCAGGTTCACAGTGAGTATAGATTGTGATCCAGTCACTTTTTTATCGGTTCAAAGCTTCTCTCGACCTGATATTATCGTCGAGTTCGGGTTGCACCGCGTCTGGAGTTTTGTGTTCAACGATTAGGCTCCCATTTTGGAACCATTTTCAGGAAATTGATGTGACTTGGCGCCGGGGCCTCAATCTGCCTAGTCCCCAGGTCTCGTCAAGAGTTCGTGAGTTCTGTCTAAGGTCTCAATCTGCCTATTCCTTAGATTCAACTGAGGTATCGATGTGTGTTTGGTGGTATTCATATCGGCGGTAGCCGATATACCCATCGATACCTCAGTATATACCCAGTACCTCAATAGGTATATATCTTCAGATATACCCATACCCATCGGTACCTCAGTTCAATTCAAGGAGTAGGCAGAATGAGACCTTAGAGAGAACTCGTGACGAGACCTGGTGAGTAGGCAGATTGGTGAGTAGGCATTTGACAATGTCTGTATAGGACGAAACTGCAGTAACGTTAGTTACAAATACAAGTGGTATAACAACATAAGAAGTGATAATTCTTATTTTTCATGATGATCTCAAATTATTAAAAAATATATTATCAGCAAAAAATATTTCAAGAACAAACTCTTATTTACTGGTTCTGAAAAGAAGAAATTTGAACTCAAAATTAAATCCATCAATCTATTATGTGAAAAAAGCAATTTTTTTCTTTGAATTTCTCATATTAAGGTAAATATTGTATTCTTGATTATCTATCTGAAAGCTTGTTTTGAAAAAAAGATAACTAATTAGTTATCACTTGAAAATTTCATTTATACTATTCATTTCATTTGATGCGGCATTGTTGTATGGTCGATGCTTTCAATATTTGTTAGTTCGTTACCATACTATCCCTAATCTTCACCGCGTTATATCCCTTCAAACATGGAATGGCGTTTATCTTGATTTCCATCATTTTGATTCTTTTTCCTTGACTCCCTTAATTTAATATCCATATCACAGGAGCGCATAAAAACATAGTTCAGCATGTTTCGCTTTCCAACATATTACTTTTGATTGATGAATACTTGATGATACTTGATGAAAATCCATATTAAAAAACTAATCAATACAGTTGTATGATTTTCACTACAAATCATAAAATTGTTGAGTTTTTTTTTATAACATTTGAAGTGACATTATTTAGTTTTTCGTATTTTTTCCAGCGAACTCTTTCAGTTCATATCTATATCATGAGAGTGCATGAAAAAATAACTAGTCCGCCATCTTGAGTGGTCTGCCATATTGGATTTAGAATAACTCACCTTTTCTTATTGTGTTTTGCTTAACAGACCTTTTTATCACAGGGGTTACTCTGGAACTAATAAATCGTGAATCGAATGTACTTAGCCCGGGAAATTTGAATATACTCCTAATTTTTTCAACAGTCCACGTACAATCGACACTTACTAAAATGGTCCAAAGATATGGTGGAGATATGTCGATGAAGTATTCGCTATCTGAGACCATAACCCCGATGATATCAACGCTTTCTTAAATTATTTGAATTAAAGACAGTTTACAATTCAGTTTGTAATATGGAAGAGGAAATTACTATTATTGAATCGATTTTGAAGGACGATGCGTATTCGGTACTATTTGTAGAAAGAGCTCTCAATGAAGTTTGTAGACACACATACCTCACAACGTCATACTGCATGTTTCCGGTTTGCCATAAAAATACGGTTGAGAAAACGAATACACATACTTTGTTCCTGTGGAAAAACATATATAGGTGAAACCTCAATAATCCAGCATGTGAAGAGAGGAAGAGAAGATAAATAACAGGATTGGAGATCGCGGAGCATATTATAAAATACTCTAAAATAATCTGGTGACCGCGCAATGAGATGTATTGAAAAAAAACTTGTCACCAAGGAACATCATTAAAAAATGAGACAACTCAAAGAATCCCCATATATCATACATTGGTGAAACTGAGAGGTTCGCATTGCTGAGTACAAGAAACACATACAGAGAGGAGAAACCAGCAAATCCGGAATAGCAGAGCATGTTTGGACTCATCAACATAACATCAAGTGGGCTCAAGCTGAAATCATCCACAAGGAGGAACACTGATTTAGGAGAAAATTCAAAGGAGCCGCGTTTTTTTAACACCTCAACACGTGTTTCGATCACCAAGTGATCATCTTCAAAGAGGAAGATTAAAACTGAAGATGATCACTTGGTGATCGAAACACGTGTCGACGTGTTAAAAATAACGATTTGGTGTTGGAAAAAAAAAACTCCAGTAATATTCATTACTACACCAAAGGTTCCAAACAGTGCATCATAAGTATCCCCATATATGTTCTTTCAGCAAGTACCTAATGAGTATATTTCAGAGAGCTCTGTAACCTGGTAACCTGGTTGCCATTGCTAAGGCGAGAAATTGAAAACGAATATATGAATCTAAAGCTAAACTGAATTTTGAGAAAACATCTGCACAATCTGCTATATTCTAGCAAATATCAAAAAACGTATACAGCAGGCACTGTGAGAATTTTATTTTCCCTGAAAATATGTAGTCAACTGAGTCAAAAATTCAAATTGAAAATATATCTCAGTAAACGATTTTGGGATACAAATCCATTGATAATTTTCTGGATCGGCCTCACGACATAAATGTCAAGGTTAATGTATCAGAATGTCATGGCATAATAAATGCCTAGCAAACTGTCTATTTTCGAAGTTGTTTTCATTCGTTTACCAGAGAAATAGGCATTATTAAACACACTTCCAATGCGTCGGCTAATTTAGACCTTCATCTACTGAACGTGTACCTAACAATTTCGTTTCTGTTGTGGTATGGATAGCAATGATCAAAGAGTCATTAGGTAACAGTTTTGCGTGACAAAAATTTGTAATAATCGATTTTGAAGTATTCAAAATGACTTTTTTGTGACATAAATATATTTGTTTATGCACAAATGAATAGTGAACAAACATTCATAAATATGCCAAACCTAATATATCGTTCAAAACATTTCTGAGATTTAACTACATTACTACAATACTATACGAGTATAAACTAAATCATCTCATCTCACTACTATATTAGTATTTAGAAAACAAGTCAACTCTTTTCTCAAAAGTTAAATAGTCTACGATACCAAATATTCAAATCAAACACATACTCACAAATGTTTCACTCTGCTCTTATTTTTGAAGGCTAATAGATTTCGAGGTAAAACAGTTTTGTTTCTGAAAGAAAGATGCAAACAAATCATACCTCTGAAGAAATATCCATAAAAAATTACATAGCCATATTTGATTCTGGTCAAATCTTTAAAAGTTATGTTTCTGTTCATAGTGTTTATTCCACCCTGGAACATAAATTTTTACCCATTACCGTCACACCACTGATGGGTAGTGATCTTAGCTTAGCAATGTATTTATTATTGCATCATTTGGATACATTTTTAGTATTCCGTGTGAGTGTGAAGTGATTTTTGGGACAACTATACCAACGATATCACTTAGTGAAATGTTGAGACGGGTTTCAAATCAAGACTAAACATTCATTGGGTTTCCAAGAAATATCATGTTGTCCGACGAAGTAACTAGTTTGTGTCGTTTCGAGGAAAATTAGGAAAATACAGCTGTATTTCGAACTTGCTTATGACGCGAATGAATCACTCAATTAGCAGCTATTGTAGAAAAATGAAAACTCGGGAATAAAAATGAAAAAACTCGAAGTTCAAACGGTAAATGAAATGAAATATTTGTTCTATCAATACGCTCATCAATATCACTAATGATCATAATATGAATCGAAAAAATGATTGATGTAAATTTCAAATCATCAACTAATAGAGTTATTTTGGAAATTTTATGAGAATTTGAGAAAAGACTTCAAATTCCAACAGTGAAATATTGATCAACAGTTAGATAGAGTGGGTGGTTTTTCCTGAGAACAAACGAATGATGAATTGGAAGAAGAAATGAAATTTTTCAAAAATTTTGGGTAAGTTAAAAATTTTGTACATATATGATACATCGTTCAGCACCCATTCTCGATTAAAAAATCTTTCCACTAGGTACGTTATCCACCACTATAAAAATCAAATTATTAGGTAATGTTTAATAAGTATGTTGAAACAGGTTCATTTATTTTTCAGTACACCAAAAACCCAAACAAAGCTGTTTTTCTAATTTTGTAAAACTCCTCAGAAAGTTGGAAGAAATGTATTCAGAAAAGTTCGCCATCGTATATGTTTATCTTTCAAGGGTAGCTCACTATATAGCCATCACCATGTTTGAAATAGTGGTAACATATANTGATGGTTGTATTCAATGGCTTCCAGATTACGTGACTTTACTGTAGTTGACTTTTTTCTGATGGTTTACTTGAATAAGAAACGCTATGCCAATGTAAACTTCTTTGAACAAACCTAGACAGAGTGAAAAATACTACTAGTGTGTTAATTTCAAAGATTCCGTATATCCAATAATAACTAAGTTACTAATGTTGCACAACTAATTTGTACTAGTCTATAGATTCTCAGGAATGAACATGTACATTGAACATTTTTCGTTCTCATTGAGTAACCGATTAAACGGTCAAATTCGCGATTTTTTCGAACCTCCTCTCCCCATTACTTTTTCCAATAAATGTTCTCACTGAAATAACGGTCATACTCAGAGAAGTAAATCGACCACACTTACTTGTAGGAACTGTAGACGTGCTTGTAATTATAAACTAACGTAGGAGTAAGTTTCTTGGATTGCTGCCAGTACAGGTAGATGAAGAGAAATATGCAGAAGAGAGTAACGATCATCAAAGCGCGTCGCAACTCGCCCTGCTTCATCCTTCCGCCTCGTCTCTGAAACAAAACGCTGTGAATTACTAACAAGAATGTATTCGTGGTTGATATTCAGGGCAAATTTTCTGGATCGATTGGGGATAAAACTTTGATGATTTATAACGTTTTTCATATTGGGTGACAATGACGATATATATAATATATATTATAAATATAACAAGTTCGCGCATTAATTTAAAAATGTCTCTCGTTTTAGGAATTTCATGGAATTATACAAAAATACAATATTTTGAATAATTTCTTCTCTTTTCATTCAAACAATTAACAGACTTCACACACGAAAATTCTTTTTCATCTGTCAGTTCAATCATTTTTATATCTACAGGTTGATTCAGTAAATGCGTTTAACATAACCTAAGTTTATAAAAAGTGAACTCCAATATGTATTCAAATATTTTGTTGCAGACATTCAATGATACAACTATTACAAAAAAACTGTTCTGGAAGGCCAGGAAATTGATGTGAAATAACATTACAACACTTAATCTTCTTTCTTAGTGATCCAGAAAATGACACAGTTGCATAGGAGTAGTTGTTTACAGCTGATTCTCGGCCTCCCCCCACCACTATGACGTATTAATTGCTTTTTTTATTGGTTGTTGTTTGGTGAAGTTTTAGAAAAAAAAATCTGAACGATCCATGCACCAGACACTTCAAGGTCACAACGCCTTGACTTCACTGCACAACAAAAAAAGCAAATAACACATCATATTGGTGGGGGGAGGATTAGAACCGGGAAAAAAATTCTTCACCAAACAACAACCAATAAAAAAAGCAATTAATACGTCATAGTGGTGGGGGGAGGCCGAGAATCAGCTGTAAACAACTACTCATAGGCGATGGGTACTACTTCAAATCAGACTGATTATCATAAAATTATATAGCGCTAGTCTGGCGTGTAACTACATACCATTTTAGTCATAAAAAAACTTCTCTTCAAATTTGAAATGGAAATGGTCAAAAGAATATGAACATGAATTTGGAAAGGTTGAAAAGTTCCTATCGTCATTTTGCTGGAAAATTTACATTGCGCTCAATAAAGGCCTGGGTGTTACGATTACCGAAGTGATTAAGTCTATATTGGTTTTGACAATCAGGTGCATTTGCCTCACGAATTTTAAGGCCTTTGGCCTTAGTGTCGAAAGGGAAAAGGAGGGTAAGTCGTTATTTCCAATCTTTGAAAGTTCGAAATTTTCTATATCTACGAGGGTTTACTTTATGAATGACAGTGTACTGACGACAGCACACTTGTCTGGTCACTTCATTTGGATTCCAACACGTCGGCTGCAGATGCACATCTCCATCGGCAGTAGGAGATTGCATATCTCAAGGAGGATCCAGAAGTGATTTTGAATTGGGGTGAAACTAATCGGATGTAATAATGTCGGGACAGACAATTCCATTCTCTGCTTCGATAAGTTTGTTGGGACACCAATATGTCTTGTCACAATTATGTTGCTGGAATTGCAAAGGCTGCTTCCCAAAAGCTTGGAACACTAGTTCAAATCAGAAAACTGTACACACCTCAGAAACTTTTGATGCTTTGTAAAGTTCAGATCAGATCTTTTTTGGAGTATTGATCTCATGTATGGAGCTGAGCATTTCCTGAAGCTGCTGGATTCCATCCAGAAAAGAGCCATCCGCCTGATTGAAAACGCGAACATCACATGCAACTTTGATAGTCTGGAACATTGAAGAAAGGTTGGAAATGCGTCTCTCTTATATAGATACATTCACGGAAAGTGACTTGGCACATTTGATTTCATCGAGAGCGGTACATATAAATACGCGACTGACTGTAGCTGCTCGTCTTTTTGAAGTTCAACTCAGTACACTTCGAACTTCACTGTTCAAGAGCTCTTTCGTTTAGAGAACTGGGTCCAAAATAATTCATTATCCAGCGATTCAAATTCAATGTGAATCGCTACTTTCGCTCTATGAGCGCCTTAAGGATTTTCCTGTAGTGCTTGTGTTTTGTCCTTGAAAAACAAAGAACCTCTGATATATATTTTAACCAAAAAAAATTATTTCCAGTGTTAGTTTAACATATACCAGAGAGATTTCAGTTCAATCGTATCAACTTTTAATATTGAGTATGTGAAGGCAAATCATACGCATACTGTTTTTATCTATAAAATATTCACCCATAGCATAAAACCTCTTAGTAAAATTACATTTTGAATTTAATTAGATATTTTCAGATAGCGTGGACCTCCCTATGAATGTTTATCAAAATGAAGAGCCAACATAAAAATATGACATCACTGTACTTGGTGTCAATAGTCATAAATAATAAATCTTAGTGCAAGAAAACTGAGAGCAATATTTGGCACTCCGAATTTATGCCGTTGAACTGATAATGATTTTCTGCATTTAGATAATAAAATTCAGGTGGTCAGTTTAAATACGAAACTACAATAAATAAGGGAATTTGGTAATGACGCCCTTGGACGACAAACAACTTTTAATTTTTTTTTAAACAAAATTACTATTTCTTCATTTCTTTAGAAAATAAAATGCCAATTTAGACTGATGACGAACGACATTTTCTTATTGAGTGTTCATGTTTCAATTGGTCTTATTTGGAGCAAAAACCAATGCCGAGTCTTACCTCTTGTTCTCAACTATATGTCAGTCAAAAAATACCAACTATTCTATGTGAATTTTCCGATTTCATTTCTGTGTTTGATTTGTAATCAACCTCCTTTTGTATTTCAAACATTTTCAAAGTGGCGTTCACAACATTCAAAAGTTCCAATTGACAGACCCGACTCTGTTGGTCTACTTCATGAAACTATATTTATACACAAACTGAAAACACTCAAAATACGTGGTCTCATTGGCACAATAGGGAATGGAGACAGTACATTTCAATTTTCCTTACATTTATTCGAGTGAAGTTCCAACAACTTCTTTTGAGAACGGCAATAAACAAGTGTTACGTATATATTGACTTATTTATGGAAGTTAAGGCGCAGTCCAAATGGCATTAGGCTTTCGAGTGATAAGATAAACTCGAAATATTGTGACAATCTCTCTCAGTAAACAATCTGGTTGAATATTTGCGAATATTGATATTGATTCATCATGTTTTATTAATAATGGGTTTTTATATAATAAGTAAGTATAATGGCGTCGAGTGATTTGTGCTTATAAATTGGCTGAAAGATGCGTCAATTTACTACAGATAATTATGTCAATCACACATTTTTGAACGGATGCTAAACCTACCTTCCTAAACATGAGACGCAGAGGAGTGTTAGACTTTAATACTTTAATTAGGTATTATGTTCATTCGATACAGCTGATAAAAGGATAACAGACTTTCAACAGATTGTAATATCTTAATCAAACTCCGGTAAAACAAACTGGGAATCATATAAGGCAGACCTAAAAATTTGCTTAGACCAGATGGGTTTTATAATAGTGTGACCCACTTGAAAGCGGGACACCTCCCGAAAATTTGCATCTTTTCTCCATTTTCCAAGAACTTTATTTTGATTTTAGTTAAAAAAAACTGTACTTTGACACCAAATATAATTTTCTTTCTACAAAAACAGGCCTGCTGCGAATATTTTCATAGGTTAAAATACAAGAAATTGTATTAGCAATTTTTTTAGTGAAAATTTAAAATCACCATTGGACTGGGCATCATCTCAAATGGCGGTATACCAAATTTCATAGAAAAATATTCAATACTAATAATTCTGAGGTCGAATCAACATTCACATTATATCATCATATAATGTTAACTTCAGACCTCTTGGTAAGTTGACCGTGAAACACCGTGCGGATATACAAAATCGCGCTCTTTTCATTTGACACTAGAGAAAAACGACTATTGTTGATTATTATTGCTGTTATCAAAACTGAAACGAAACAGTTATGTTAGATTATCTCCAATTAGTATCAAAATTATTTTGTAAAGCTATAGGAATTAGTGATTTATTATGGGAGAATTGAGAGTGCGAGATAAAACTTAACTTGTGCGCCTTGTCGGAGATAATGCTCTTTCGGCAAAAAAGCTACCAGAGAATTTCGTAACAGACATCCTGATAAACTTCCAGTGAGCAGCAGTACGGTAAACCGTATAAATTCTGTTTGTAATGAAACGAGGCATATGCTCAGAAACGGAAACAATCCACATTGTGAGAAATGGTGTCAGAATATTGCTATATTTTCGTAATAATCCTCATTCAAGCTTGCGAACGGCTAGTTTGAACTTCAATATCCCTAGAGAAAATATCAGGAGATGATTTGTAAAAAATAAAATTAATCCTTGCAAGCCAAAAAATTTACACACTCTGGAACCGGGAACCAAATTTCATAGAAAAATATTCAATACTAATAATTCTGAGGTCGAATCAACATTCACATTGTATCATCATATAATGTTAACTTCAGACCTCTTGGTAAGTTGACCGTGAAACACCGTGCGGATATGCAAAATCGCGCTCTTTTCATTTGACACTAGAGACAAACGACTATTATTGATTATATTGCTGTTATCAAAACTGAAACGAAACAGTTATGTTAGATTATCTCCAATTAGTAACAAAATTATTTCGTAAAGCTATAGGAATTAGTGATTTATTATGGGAGAATTAAGAGTGCGAGATAAAACTGAACTTGTGCGCCTTGTCGGAGATAATGCTCTTTCGGCAAAAAAGCTGCCAGAGAATTTCGTAACAGACATCCTGATAAACTTCCAGTGAGCAGCAGTATGGTAAACCGTATAAATTCTGTTTGTAATGAAACGAGGCATATGCTCAAAAACGGAAACAATCCACATTGTGAGAAATAGTGTGAGAATATTGCCATATTTTCGTAATAATCCTCATTCAAGCTTGCGAACGGATAGTTTGAACTTCAATATCCCTAGAGAAAATATCAGGAGATGCTTTGTAAAAAATAAAATTAATCCTTGCAAGCCAAAAAATTTACACACTCTGGAACCGGGAGATGAAGAAAGAAGTTTAGAATACTGTTTGTGGGCTCAA